TAGTAAAGAAAGTAGCGCTATTAGCCTTTAGCCGTAAATACGTGCGCGCCGCGGTAATTAATTATATGCGCAAATGTCATAATTCACACGTCTGTTCACAGCTCATTTACATATCAGTGCAGGTCCAGTATATACGGCCAAATATAGTCACTTTAGAACAGACCAATAGAAAACAGTCTGTTTATGTGCGGGAGCTACAGCAGCTAACCCATAACAAATGACAAAAAACTAGCTTCAGAGTCGACATATTTCCAACACTCACCGTTCATACAGGCTCCTCCTCACATCACAAATCTGCACTAATAAATGTCCTTTTAATCCAGACTCAAACCGATTGTCCGTAAAAAGAATATAATCTCAGTGTTTGGATCTGTGTCTGCAGGTGTAAACAAACACACGTGAGTGACGCCACTCTGTGGTGTGTTCAGGGTCAGTACGGACACACACAGACAAATGACTCCGTAGATAAATACTGATGTGGAGCCACATATTAGGACATTTGTCTGTCTGTAAATTGGATTAAATGAACAGAATGTAGAGAGTCTAAGCTTTATAACGAGGTATAACATGCCCACGTGAAATATCGGCCCCTATCAGCAAGCATATCAGCCGATAGCCGATATGCCTAAAGTTGCCCATATCAGCCGATAATATCGGCCAACCGATATATCGGTCGGGCTCTAGTTGAAACAGGTGAAAAAGTGTTTCCACACATCTCCAACACTCTGGCTAACTAGGAAACAGGTCCTATGTCCAAAATTCCGGACTGTCCCTTTAAAAATGTGAAAATAAAACTAGTTTATTTTGTTTTGCAGTGGTCCAGAGTTATTCCTCACTTACCTTATGCATTCCAAACATCCTAACTATTCATTGTGATGAGTTTATGTGCTCTTTTCACAACTCTCGCAGCGACAGTAAGCGTAACAACTAGCATGCCAACACACACCTCCTGATTATCAAATAAAATACTTTCTAATTAGATGCAGACAGTACGCAGTAGACATATTTTGACCTCAAGAGCCACTTATACAATATATCTGTACTGGGGCAAGACACATTTTGCACAAAACATGGTATAAAAATTAGGTACAGGACTTTTAAGTTGTGTGTGAAAAAGTAAGACGAGTCAATATAAATAAGTTGTTAAAAAAAATAATTGAACAAAGCTCTGAAAATCAAATTAAATAAAGAGGCCATGCTTATTATATCATTCCAGTGTTGTCCCTTCAGGATATTCAAATCCACCACTTTACAGTCACACTATATTGTTATGCAAAAGACCATAGCTTAGTAATTAAGCGTAAGAAAACATGATTGCATTTCTGTCATACTAAACAGACCGGGTGTGTGTCGGAGCCTTGTGTACAACAGCTGCCATAGTTGTCTGCTGTTTCTTTGTGTGAGACAGTCTGTATGACTGTGGGTTTTGTGCATATCCCCCAGCCGCTGACAAGAAATCTACTGATACTGTGCAGTGACATCATGCTGAGGGTGTTCTGAATGGATGTCTATGGCCGAATGGTCAGAAGTTACCATGGTGACACAATGGACACACTAGCAAACACAGGCAAACAAGATTTAAGATTTATGTGTTTGGTATTTAAAGTGAGAGTGTGTAACTGAAAAACGGTTGGCGACTGTTCATTTATTTAAGTTTTAGTCATTGTGATTTATTTTAATTAATTTTTTTAATTTTTTCGTTTTAATCAATATAAATATTTTATTGGCAAAAATATGGCAAAAAAATAAATAAATACAAAAATTAAATTTACATATCTTCCTGAAAATTTTAACTGAACATTTTTCATACATTTTGACTGTTGAGATTTTTGTCATATTCAATCATATTAATCCTCAAAATTATCCATCACATTTTTAGACTTTAATATGGGTACGCATTTTGAACACCAATTAAATCACCACAGTTTTAATACATCAGGGTTCATAGTGTTCTTTTACTAAATTTCCCAATAGTGAATAAAGTAAAATGCAGGCATTAAACGTGCCCATCTTACATTTGCATGTGTTGTACTGACCAAGAACATTGCATTCTTACCAGAGGTGGGGACTTGCAAGTCGTGACTTGGATTCGAGTCAGACTTGAGTCTCTATTTTTAGGACTTGGTAATTGACTTGATAAAATGGACTAAGACTTGGGACTCAACTTGGACTTGAAGGTCAGTGACTTGGGACTTGACTCGGACTTGGGGCCTGTGACTTGAGAAGACTTGATGCTTTTCTTAAAAAAAATATGTTTTAAGAAAATACTTTTTTCCTTACAGTTAATAAATGTGGTGCTGAATTTTACAGGAACAAACCGAAACATGTCCCTCCCACTTTTATGTTTGTTACTTTGGATTTAACTGAAGTACTGTGATGTGGTATCCTTAAATGTACTACAGTAATATTCAGAACAATACAGTACAACACAGTATATACAGTACAATACAGTGAAACAATAAGAACCGCACATGATCCTTCCATTTCAGTGCTCAACTCAGTCAGCTGTTATTAAGCACTTTTAATCTTAATTCTTTCTATTCTGACTGTAATAATTCACAGTAAGATCTTGACAAGACATTTAAAAAGGAAAAATTAGCATTTCTACAACTCTTATATAAATATACCATGACTTTTTAAGTACAATTTGGCTTAAAATTCAAATAAATTGCAAAAATCTAAAGACTTGAAATTACTTGAAGCTCAAAGCAGACGACTTAGACTTGACTTGGACTTATGGGCCAGTGATTCGAGACCCGACTGGGACATGCATGTGTTTGATTTGGGACTTGACTTGGACTTGAGGTCAAAGACTTGAGACTTACTTGAGACTTGCAAAACAACAACTTGATCCCTTCTCTGATTCTTTGTATGAGTGGGCTTGCCTCTCCACAGATCTGAGATGAAACTTGGCCCCGTGGTGTCACCTAAGATAAATAAGTGTTAAATGAGTAAGCATAATGCCATACTGTGGAACATTCCAGGCAATATGTCCATAGAAAGAAGCTGGTGACGGACCCTCCACCAGAAAAGTTACACAGTGACCCTTTAACGTGTGGTATTTTTGCTTGCGACCACAATGAGCTTGATCTGCTGACGTGCCCCATTTCTCAGTAAACCCACACGGACCCCGAACATGAATTATTCACCGCTGTCACACGAGGACGAATCAGCCAAAATAAACTTTTACAAGAGTCTGTGCTGATGCCATGTATTTTCTGTGCTATTTAAGTACAGCTTACTTTTATTTTTCTAATGGCAAGATGGAACAATATTGGACATGATAGCCTTGGGAGTATCTTCAGAAAATGATGACTTTGTTAGCTCTACTTCAACTTGTTTTTAATAAAGAAATGTGTAATATTGAGCAATTTGAAGGCGAGAGAAAGTATTGAATCTGAAATTGAGTTGTCACATTCTTTTCATAGATTTCTGTACGTCTCCTTATGCATACGTCTGCTGATTTGTTTCAATATTTTTTCATAGTAAACTAGTACACTGATTTAAACATAGATCCAGTGTATATTGTATAAGTATATTGATCATAATACTGTATAGCGCACATGGTACTATATATTGTACGAAATCATGAGGTGGCTAGTAGTAAAAAAAAAAAAAAAAACACTATCAGTAATAATCAATACTTCACTTTGGCAATCAGCCTGACTGTGGTGTGGAAGAAGCTGCTATGGAAGCGGGCGGTGTAGTTTAGTCCTGATGCTGGCTGCCCTGCTTTAGTCCTGCTTTAGTCCTGCTTTAGTCCTGCTTTAGTCCTGCTTTAGGCCTGGTTTAGTTTTAGTTTAGTCCTGGTGTAGTCCTGGTGTAGTTTTGGTTTAGTCCTGGTCTAATCCTGGTTTAGTCCTGGTCTAGTCCTGGTTTAGTCCTGATGCTGGCTGCCCTGCTTTAGTCTTGCTTTAATCCTGGTTTAGTTCTTGTTTAGTCCTGGTCTAGTCCTGGTTTAGTCCTGGTTTAGTCCTGATGCTGGCTGCCCTGCTTTAGTCTTGCTTTAATCCTGGTTTAGTTCTTGTTTAGTCTGTCCTGGTCTAGTCCTGGTTTAGTCCTGGTTTAGTCCTGATGCTGGCTGCCTGCTTTAGTCTTGCTTTAATCCTGGTTTAGTTCTTGTTTAGTCCTGGTCTAGGCCTGGTCTAGTCCTGGTCTAGTCCTGGTTTAGTCCTGGTTTAGTCCTGGTTTAGTCCTGGTTTAGTCCTGATGCTGGCTGCCCTGCTTTAGTCTTGCTTTTATCCTGGTTTCGTCCTGGTTTAGTTCTGGTTTAGTCTGTTTACTCCTGGTTTAGTTCCAGTTTAGTCCTGGTTAAGTCCTGATGCTGGCTGCCCTGCTTTGCTTTTAGTCCTGGTTTAGTCCTGGTTTAGTCCTGGTTTAGTCCTGATGCTGGCTGCCCTGCTTTAGTCTTGCTTTTATCCTGGTTTCCTCCTGGTTTAGTTCTGGTTTAGTCTTTGTTTACTCCTGGTTTAGTTCTAGTTTAGTCCTGGTTAAGTCCTGATGCTGGCTGCCCTGTTTTGCTTTTATTCCTGGTTTAGTTCTGGTTTAGTCCTGGTTTAGTCCTGATGCTGGCTGCCCTGCTTTAGTCTTGCTTTAATCCTGGTTTTGCCCTGGTTTAGTTCTGGTTTAGTCCTGGTTTAATTCTAGTTTAGTCCTGGTTAAGTCCTGGTTTAGTCCTGGTTAAATCCTGGTTTCGTTCTGGTTTAGTCCTTGTTTACTCCTGGTTTAGTTCTAGTTTAGTCTTGGTTTAGTCCTGATGCTGGCTGCCCTGCTTTAGTCTTGGTTTAATCCTGGTTTCGTCCTGGTTTAGTTCTGGTTTAGTCCTTGTTTACACCTGGTTTAGTCCTGGTTTACTTTTGGTTTAGTTCTGGTTTAGTGAGGCTGGCTGCTACTGTATGTGTCTGTGTGTCAGTCTCTCTGCAGTCTTGGTTCTCTGTAGTAAAGTCTTGCACGATGACTGTATGTATGAAAAGCTAATAATGATCTTTTTATAATTTCAGGCAGTACTCTGGAGATACAAGTTCTCTCAGCTCAAAGGCTCATCGGACGATGGCAAAAGCAAGATCAAGTTTCTGTTCCAAAACCAGGACTCCAAATCGATCGAAGCAAAGGTAAACCCACCTCAACAAAAAACAAGATCTACATTCCCATTGATTGAAAGAGACAGTATGTAAGAGTTCGATTTTAAACTTTGTAAACATGACCTCTGTCCGCAGAGACATGTTCAAATCAAAAGGCAGGGGTGACAGAAGATCAGTTGGTAGAGCGTTTGTTGACGGTATGAATCCTGCTCTCAACATAAACTTTATTGATTGAGCGGTCAGATTCACTGGCCTACAGGTCGGAGGTGCATTCCAAGCTCCCACAGATGTCTTGTTGTGTCCTTGGGCAAGACTTTTAACCCAGCTCACCTCTCCTCTAGCGTCCAACTGACTGATAACAACTGCAATGCCGATGAATTCCTGATTGGACATGTATGTAATAATATGTTTTGGTTCCCGTGAGGATTATGCAGTCAAATACCAGGATGATCACTTTTCTATCATTTGAGTTGCCAGTTCCTAAAACCAGTTGGAAATAAACCCCAAATGACTCTCTTTATAATCTGAATAGCTCAGTGAGTGAATTCTGGAGGTTCTGAGCTTTCCTTTAAATGTGCTATAAAACCTTTGGGTTGGGGATCCGTCACCTGCTTGTTTGTGTCTATGGATACGTCATTGCTCTGCTCTGGAATGTTCCACAGTATGATATGATCAACAGCTCTACCTCCATCCATCCTTTTTCTTCTGCTTATCCGGGGCCGGGTCGCGGGGGCGGCGGTCTAAGCAGGGACTCCCAGACTTCCTTCAGTTCCTACAGTTATTTTTTTATTATTTATAGCTCAAAAATACCTAATTCTGACTATGAGCAGGGTTGCCTTTCCACAGATCTGACCTGTAACTTGGTCCGGTTTGGTCTCGATGAAGATAGTAAATAGTCACATCTTTATAGAGAGCTTTTCCACCAAAGAACCACACACAGTTCAGAATTCAATCAATCAATCAATCAAACTTTATTTATAAAGCGCTTTTCATACAAAAACGTAACACAAAGTGCTTTACAGTGATTAAAAACAATCCCGCATTTCCATCCACCCACCCACTTATCCAACCCCACACCTGCCCAACTCCACACAACCAAACAACCCAGACACGCACACCCACTCGCACACACACACACACACACACACACACACACACACACACACACACACACACACGCCCTAAGATAGTAAAATACATAAAATCCCCTATAGTAAAATGTGAGGCTGAATACAGGCGAACCAGTTGAGAAAACATCATCAGAGGAGCCGTCTACATCAGGGAGCAGAGAGTCGTCCACCACCACCAGGAACCACCACAGGAGTCCAGGGGAGAGATGAAGCCCAAGCACCAACCCTCCACCAGGAGCCCACGGGACAGAACCCGGCAGCCACAGCCGACCTCCGCTCCCGATGCAGAGGCTCCTACAGAGGAAACACTGGAAATCCTAAAAAATATGCCTAAAATAAATAAATATACTAAAATGTGTACAATAGAAACAGGTAAAAGTATAAGAATTTAATCAAAAGCTAAGCTAAAAAGGTGGGTCTTGAGCCTGCTCTTAAAAACATGAACGTTCTCTGCAGCCCTGAGCTCCTCCGGCAGGCAGTTCCATAGACGGGGGCCATAATACTGAAAAGACGCCTCTCTCCGTGAGTGTGTGTCCTGACTTTGGGAATGAGCAGGAGCCTGCTGCCGGAGGAGCGCAGGGACCGCGAGGGTTCATAGGGTACAAGCAGTTCTGAAAGATAAGAGGGCCCAAGACCATTAAGACATTTAAAGACCAGTAAAAGAACTTTAAAATCGATCCTGAAACTCACAGGGAGCCAATGCAGTGATTTTAAAACCGGTGTAATGTGGTCCCGCCCTCTGGTCCTCGTCAGGACACGTGCTGCTGAATTTTGTAATAATTGCAAACCTGAAATACACTTTTTGGGAAGACCAGAGAGCAAACATATACCAGTGTACGCAGACAATGGGGGTAACGTGGGTTAAGTGTCTTGCCCGAGGACACAACGGCATTCATCTATAGGAGATGGGAGCTAGAATCACACCTTTAACCTGTGGGTCATCAATAGGGCTGGGTATCATTAAGAAGTTGCCGATACGATACATATCTCGATACACAGGCCATGATACGATACATATCTCGATACAGTGCACTTTCGATTCGATACGATATATTTCAAATCAATTCGATACGGTTCAATAAAAAATAAAGGCTAAATCATGGCTGTGATACTAAAAGTCTTTGTTAAATCACTTCTTGTCCAAAGTTCATATGAAACACAAACATTTTAATCATCAAAACAGTAGAAATGTCAAATGTGTCGCATAAATGAGTTTCCTTTCACTCCACAAGCAACAAAACTGTAGCACTGTAACAAAATAATTTAGTAAAACACACCTAAAAATCCTCTTGGTGATATATCGATACAGCAGCCCACGATATTGATACTGTATCGTCACATTAAACGATACAATATATCGATATTTTTGCACACCCCTAGTCATCAACCAATTATGTTGATGTTGAGAGCAGGATTCTAATCGCTCTACCAACTGAGCTACCGTCGCCCATAGATAGAAAGGTTTAATGCCATACTGTGAAACATCCCAGACAAAGCAATAACATCTCCATGGAGAAACGCATTTGACAGACACTCCACCAGAAAAGTTACTCAGTGCTCCTTTAACTTTTTATCTTACCCCTCTCAGGAGCTGGAGTTCTCAAACCTATTCGCCGTGCTCCACTGCATCCACGCTTTCTTCGCTGCCAAAGTCGCCTGTCTGGACCCCATGTTCGTGGAGAGCCAGGCCAACGCCACCGCCACCGGGATAGCCTCGCTGTCCGGGATTTCCTGCAACTCCCAACCTCCCAAACTGAAATACGTCACTTGACAGGAGCTACTCTGTACGGACCTCTAACCAAGTCAAACAAGTCAGGCTCTGTGAAGTCAGGATCGTGGGAGATACGACTTTGAAGGACTACACATGGGAGCTCGCTTTTAAAACTGTAAAGACTTTTGCAAAAGACTTCTAGATCTTATAAAAGAAACTATGGACACAAATGTGCACATGTTTTTAAGTCAAATATAACTTTATCTTGATACATTCACCACAAGTCAATGCAGTTTCTCCTCTCCTCTGTCAGCTTTTCTATGTAGACCTTCACAAACTATTTTTTCCACATGCTGTTTATCACTTGAATTACCGCAGAGGATATGTGTGGATGCTTACGAGATGGTTTAATTATTTCAGGTACTCAAGGTAAACTACTCAATGCAGTCAAATGATACCTATAAAAGAAAATGAATGGGCCCAGAGTGAGATTTTACTTGTACAATTTGAAAGGGGACATATTATGCTAAATCAGCTTTTATGAGATTTTAACCACGTTATAATGGGTTTCCTCTCATCGTTACAGGGCTTATATTGAGCTATTTTCTGATCTAGGTTAAAATGTTGTTTCCACGTCACAAACATACCTGCTTCATGACATCACAAGGTGGAACAGAGCATTTTGAGCTTTGGAGATGCAGACAGAATAATAATAAAGGGTTACTCAAATATATGTGAATGAAAAAAACACAACTCTGGGTATGTTTTTGAAGAGGTAACAACATTATAACATTTTTAAGATCACAAGAATCGATTTTGTGTAATGCAGGACCTTTACATTACTCAAAGTTGTATTCTGATTGACATAATAATCTTGTATTGTTCTGCATCTGTGGCTTAAAAGCTCAAAAAATTTTCACCTACCCCTTGTCTCCACCTAGCCAGATTCATGAGTCGGTTTCACTTTGTAGAAACTGTCTGTCCTTGCAGCATTAGGATTCATTCGCTTTACAGCAGGCAGGTACTTTTTTAATTTAACCAGTCGCTACTATTTGATCTTGACACATGTGATGTGCCACTAATGGGACTAACTAAGATTTTCCTAAATCCCATAGAAAGAAGGGCAATAACATCTTCCCCCTTGATGAAATTCACCAAACATTCTGTTTGTTCCGGCTTTAAACCCTTGTTCTCGGGAATCGTTGCCAACACAGAATGTATTGCTCTTCGCTGACTGGCTGATGCCTGAACTCGCATTTCCAGGGTTTTTGCGAACTGTCTAGTGTATTCTGATTCCTGACCTAGTCACTGGAGAGAAATTAAATTGAGCGGAGGCACTAGGTGGTGCCAGCCTGGCTAGTCTCCACTCACTTCCCTATAATAAGGCGCATTTATTTAAACATTTTTCTTTCAAGTGTTACATAATATTTTGTACAATGTTAATAAAAATGAAAAACATGTACATTAAAATCCAAAAGCTACATTGCTGGGGTCAACTGGTACAATGAAGAGATGGGGTTTATCAATTCTGGATTTTTTACAGGAAGTCAATGGTGCAATTTCTATTATTGAGCAATTTTAGATTAAATTTGTGACTTACATAATGTAATATTATGATCAGCATATGTTATAGTTTAGCACTAAGTATTCAAAACTCTCCTTTAAAGAGCCATCATAACATTTCTTGTTGTGTGTCACCTGGATTATAACTGATCAGTTGTAGTCCCCATTAGGTAAAAAAAAATAAAATAAATTTAAATAATCTAGTATCTTTACAGATATTTCTAAAAGCTCTCAAGTGTAATTTGTAAAAAAAAATCAGTGCCGTGCTTGAGAAACCATGTCAGCTGGAGAACTTTATTGACATTTGTGAACAGAGGTAAGGCATAAAAGGTGCTGATGTGACAATACGCTGTAAAATGTGGTCTGTTTAAATCAAAAGGTGTTGGTGTGTAAAAGCAGTTTAGACCTAAAACCCCCTCAGAGCAAAACCACAGAGGAAAATCATTCTACTATATATGGTCAGATTAATGTGATGTATCATGGTTTTTCTTATAAGAGCATTATTATTGACATCCAAGAGCCAGAGCAAATGGATTTTTGCTTTTGAAAGTGATCTGAATGAACACATAATACAGCCAATGTTCTTTAAAGGCCATAGTTCACGCAAAATTGACTCTTGTGAGCTTTTAGTCATGTTACAATGTTCTTACCTCCTCAAAAATATACCTGGAGTCAGGGCTGAACGATCTGTCGTTTTGGACCAAAAATGGCAATCTCAGATAACATGAGTTTGGGAGTGTCAAAGCCACGTTTTTTTTTTTTTTTTTTTTTTGCAGTGCTCCTAACTGACCCAGGTTTTGTTTTGCCAACTATTTCACACATGTATGCATCATCAACATACCTCTGTGCAGATTAGTAAAAGTAATAATAATGATGAGAATTTTAATATAAAAATGTTAATGATTAATCAAAAACCTATTTTGATCTGGTGTTGTCCTGGTTTAGTTCTGGTCCAATTTTGGTTTAGTCCTGGGTTAGTTCTGGTTTAGCCCTGGTTTAGCCCTGGTTTAGTCCTGGTTTAGTCCTGGTTTAGTCCTGGTTCAGTCCTGGTTTAGTTCTGGTCCAATTTTGGTTTTGTCCTGGTTCAGTCCTGGATTAGTTCTGGTTTAGCCCTGGTTTAGCCCTGGTTTAGCCCTGGTTTAGTCCTGGTTTAGTCCTGGTTCAGTCCTGGTTTAGTCCTGGTTCAGTCCTGGTTTAGTTCTGGTCCAATTTTGGTTTTGTCCTGGTTCAGTCCTGGATTAGTTCTGGTTTAGCCCTGGTTTAGCCCTGGTTTAGTCCTGGTTTAGTCCTGGTTCAGTCCTGGTTTAGTCCTGGTTCAGTCCTGGTTCAGTCCTGGTTCAATCATGGGATCAGTCCTGGTTTAGTCCTGGTTTAGTCCTCCTGGTTTAGTCCTGGTTTATTCCTCCTGGTTTAGTCCTGGTTTAGTCCTCCTGGTTTAGTCCTGGTTCAGTCCTCTTGGTTCAGTCCTCTTGGTTCAGGCCTGGGTCAGGCCTGGTTTAGTCCTGGTTCAGTCCTCTTGGTTCAGGCCTGGAACTAGTCCTGGTTTAGTCCTGGTTTAGTCCTAGTTTAGTCCTCCTGGTTCAGTCCTGGGATCTTTCCTGGTTTAGTCCTGGTTCAGGCTTTGGATCAGTCCTGGTTTAGTCCTGGTTCAGGCCTTGGATCAGTCCTGGTTTAGTCCTGGTTCAGGCCTTGGATCAGTCCTGGTTTAGTCAGGGTTCAGTACTTGGCGTGTGCGGTGCAACAGTCCAGCATCTCCATCAGTGTTTCTTCTGCTCATTAAATAATAATTGTGAAGTGATGATGGATTTTTGACAGTAGTAGTCATGCCTAGTGCAGGACTTTGGTATGATGTACCGGTACTGATGTTTGCAAATTGCAATAACTGCTAGAAAAATCGCAAATTCAATGTTTTCTTAAAATCGTTCAGCCCTACCTGGAGTTGTGTTTTGTTTCATTCATGCATGTTTGAGTGACCCTCTGTTATTAGTTTGTCCACATCTCCAAAGCTCAAATGCTCTGTTCCACACTGTGATGTCATGAAGCAGTAGCTTTACATTTTGTTTTGTAGAGATTGGCAATTTCCAGGACTGAAATTATCCAAAAGGTTTTCAGTTTTAGAGAAGAACACAGCCTAATTATGCAGGATTTTGTGTGAGTGAAACAAAACACAACTCCAGGTCTGTTTGTGATGAGGAAGCAACATTACAACACAGCTCAGAAAATAGTGTAATATGGGCCCTTTCTGTTTTTGGGATTGGAAAAGCATTTAGCAATCTACCACGTAACAGCAACTTCATCTTTGTTTTTGGTCCTCTGTTTTGTTTGGGCATGATTCATTCTTGCAGTAGTAGCAGACTCACTTCATCCATTCTGGTCTAAAAGTGATAGGTCTGCCCAGCCTTTTAACTACCTTTCAGCACAGTTTATAACATCGAATACAAAAGGCCTTTTCCCTCACGACGGATCTGAATTGCCCTAAAAAGGAATCTGCAAAAGCAGATAGCAGCAAATTGAAGGAATCCCATTTAATTTTGTTAAGTGGTACAGTCTGGCTGGATTTGACTTTTATGTCGCTATCAATCAATCTTTAATCTCTGGGTTTAAATCTATGAAAAAGGGAACTATAGGTTAGGCTCCTATAGTTTAAAGAGCCCATATTATGCTGTTTTATGTTTCCTCATTAAAATATACCTGGAGTTGCGTTTTGCTTCATTCAAAACGCAATTCCAGGTATTTTTTTGATGAGGTAACAACATTATAACTTCATTGAAAGCTCACATTTGTCAATTTTTGCGTAATGTAGAACCTTTAAAATTAAGATGGACGACAGGTCAGAATTTGAACTTTAGATTGCAAATTTGTTGACTTGATTTATGGTTCATATGTCTGTAATTATTGGGCCGATCCACATGAAACACAAAGTTAAACATCTCTGTCAGTAAATAAACAAATGTATTCGATTCTATTCTTCTTCACAATAGCCTCGGAAAGTGGTGCCAACCCCAAAAGACGTGATTGTTGCCAGCTCAAAAGACTCAAAAAGACGAGTTTGTGGAGTATCTTTAACAAATAACGATCATGTTTGACATTTGTGCAGCATAGGTTTGGAGATTTCTTTCAAAAAGAAATTTTTCAGATATATCCTGATTTCAACTGCGTTATAACAGCAGAGGAGCGTCCTTCAAATTGTGAGAAAATCGTTTGTCTGAAACTCATGAGTAGATGAAATTTGGAGGACAGGTCAGAGTTCTGTTGTAAAACTGTTGAACTGCAGATGTTTTGTCCTGGTTAATGGTCAGTATCTCTGTAATCACTGGGCCTATTCACATGAAACAAAAACTGGCATTTATTTCAACATCTTCCCTCTCAGCACAAATACACAAAAGTACTATTATTTTTTCATAATAGCTTCAAAAATTGTGCCTTTATTCAACCCCAGATACATGAATTTTGTCAGCTGAAAAAACTTCAAACCAGAACAACTTTTTGGTGCAAAT